AAACATCATCCATCACTCACACAGATTAAAGACCTAGGAAAAGGAGAGCAGACTAAGCAGGAACAGGCTGGGGTTTAGCACATAGTTTTGGTATTATATTGGCCAACTTAATTTTTTTAGAGTCTTAACTTCAGTATGTTTGACTCCACAGGGAGATGCTCAGGATTTATTTTGGCTCTCCCAGCCTCCCTGACAGAGCAGTCAAATGTTGGCAGCCTCTCTAGGGCTTGCAGAAGCTGCTGCCTGGTTTGTGCATCTGAGGCTTTCTTTCCCAAACTATGTTTGTAGCAGAATTATCGGTAATTTTTCAATCAAATTGTTGATGATTATGGAAACATTTCCGAGAGCAACATGACCCATGTTGTGTGAATGCTGCATGACTGACCTGTCGTGTAAGTCAGAGTATAAAAATACTTTACTTGTGCATTAAGTGGCTTATACCATAGCTGCCAACTATGCCAAACATTCAGTACAGCTTTACAGCTTCCTAAGAACTGGAAACCTCTCAGTACTTGTTGCACTTTGGTCAGTCTTGCAGGGTCTTGTATACAAGTACCTGGAAAAAGACTATGCCTCCAGTTGCTTATGTGTGATGCAGTGTGTAGAGAGCAAGTTCATGGCACAACTGTGGGATTCAGTCCCTTTCAGTATAAGTAATTTTCTCTTGAGCAGCAGTTTTAGGATGTGCCATGGCAGAAGGAAGCAGTAACAAGCATGGGGGAGAGGGCATTGAGGAATGCAGTGGGCAGGGCAGGGTTCTGCCCTTAAAATCTAGATGATAAGTAGCACCTACTTTAGCCTCTTATGGCTGTTACCTCATCCCCATTCTGACAAATTTGTTCAATTCTAACTAAAAAGAGTAGAAGACTTAGGTTTTTCATATATCTGAGTTAGAAAAGTAAATGTAGTGGGTAATGAATAATAAATTCCTTAGTTTGCTGAACTGTTACCACTATTTGCTAGGAAAAAAAATTGCTTTTCTGCATCTTTAAAATGGTACTTTGGCATAGTGCCCTAGAAAAAAATTGCCTGTACATCATCCTGTTTTTTTAAAAAAAAGCTGTACAATGAAATCAGACAGAGCTTCACTTGTAGGATGTTGTGCTTCACATGCAACTAATTAATAATGAACACTAGTGGAATGGAGCAAAGGAAAGGAGCAGTTCACCAAAGGTCTTCAAGGCCTGTAGTATTTAGAAAAATCTAGTGCAGCTTCCAAATTGATTGCCATGCAGCACTCCCTTGTACCTCTCCAAATACGTGTGTAACAAAGCTAGCTGGATGCTCTTTGAGATTTTCCAGCCACCATGTCCAGGAACAGCAAGAACTTTGCAGGTTTTGCTCCGATAAGCAGCTACTGGAGATTTTAAGTCCTCCTCTACACTGTCAGCTCCTCTCTCTTCTTCTGCCAGTACCATCTAGCTGTGCAGATGAACTGAAATTTTTCACCAATATTGGAGAAGAGTTTAAAGAGCAGCTATAGTGTAAATTTTGCTAATAAATTTTGGTAATTCACAACGAGGAAAAAGTATTTTCACATTTAAGTTTTAAAACCAAAACAGGTAAAAGCAACTTGGGGTGGTTCACTAGCATCTGTGTTACATAGAAAATACAGTGACCTAATTTGAGCTCTTAATTGACCTCGGTATTTGGTTCTGGGGTTTTTTTTGTAATTGGTACATTACAGGACTCCACACAAACTGTGCACTACATCATAACATACAATTTAAAACTATGTCCTAACGTGCAATTAAGTAATAAACTTGCTTTTGAATTGCTCAGCAGTGCTCCCCACAGCTTGTACTGCTAATACACACATAGTCTTTCAAAAAAGTTCCCACGTGTGTTTGAATGGCAAGGCAAAAATCACCTATCACCTAAGTCCCTTCTCTGTACCATGATCCATGCTCAATGCTAATCCTTTGTAGTGTGACAGATATTACTGGCCTACATGTTCTGATAAAACAGAAGCTTTGGCAAGCCAGCAGCTGTTGCAATTTACCATATTGATCTATGAATCCTCATTAATGGTACAGTGCACTGCCTGATTAGAAAACTCTACTTAATAAAGATGCTTCCCAGGGAATCGGTTTACACCTAATGATACTTGTGGCAAGGACGGCTCCTTAACTGGGACTGTAATTTCATTTAATTGGGACACCTTCAGGTGACAGCCCATGCATTACAGTTCAGTGCACCCTCCTCATAGGAGCTTGCAGTTGCCCCAGCCTGCCCTCACTCTCAGCTCGTTCACAGCAAGGTACTGAATATTGCCTGACACCACTTGCCACTGGATAGCAGCCACTTTCCCATCGCTCTGAAGGTCTCCCCATATGTCAGTCTATTTAAAACAGGAAGATGCTTTATACAGTACAACCACAGGGAAAGGTGCTTGGGTACTTGATCAGCTAAATTTTAATTAAAATATTCAGCCCCTACAATAGCCCATTGTAAGAAGGCTTAAGAAAAGATCAATCAACAAATCATGTAAGGTAGCATTGTGTCTTTAAAATCTTAAAATGTGTAATTACATGTTGTGCATTAAAAAGCATATCTGGAACAACTTCTGAAACCAAACACATGTACCCCAAATCCACTAGCTGAGATTGAATAACCAGTATTCTACATTTAATACAATAAATAATATTAGCACATAAAACCTGCTAAGATGGAGGATGATATGCTGGCTTATTAAAATGGAGCTATGATTCAGAAGGCTTGTGTCCTTTTCACATTAATTTTCTATTGCAGTATGAGGTCTCTAGTACATTTTTTTCATAAAATGCAGCTTTAATAAGAGATAAGGAACATTCAGTAACTTCAAGCAGGTTCAGATTTTCTGCTGTTGTTACTGTATGAAATTTAGGCATGTAACTTGAGGTGCTGAAGTTGGATTGCTGCTAGAAAGTAGTTGATTGCCTGTCGGTGCAGTTATTAAGAATCACAGAATGGCTTGGATTGGAAGGGACCTTAAAGATTACCGAATACAACACCCTGCTGTGGGCAGGAACACCTTCCACTACACCAGGCTACTCAAAGCCCCATCCAGCCTGGACTTGGAACGCTTCCAGAGACAGGGCAATCACAACTTCTCTGGGCAACCTGTGCCAGTGTCTCACCACCCTCACATTAAGGAATTTCTTTCTAATATTCAAGCTGAATCTCCTTTCAGCTTAAAACCATTGTCCCTTGTCCTATCACTACAGGTCTTGGTAAAAAGTATCTGACTTTTTTGTAAGCCCAGTTTAGTAGTGAAAGGCCAAAATAAGATCTTTGAGGAACCTTCTTTTCTCCAGGCTGAATGACTCCAACTCTCTCAACCTGTCTTCACAGAAGAAGTGCTCCAGCCCTCTGATCATCTTTGTGGCCTCCTCTGGACCCACTCCAACAGGTCCACATCCTTCTCATGCCGGGGACCCAGACCTGGACCCAGCACTCCAGATAGGGTCTCAACAGAACAGAGCAGATGGGCAGAATCACCTCCCTTGACCTGCTGCTCTTTAGGCAGCCCTGGATTAATGTACAGACAGATGTACATCTGAATTCCAGAGAGCTAAGATTAATCTGTTTTAGCTTGTACTTGCATTTAAACTGTGTTTGGCTGTTTTACCTCTCAAAAACAAAGCATTTTTTAAAACTGGAGAGAAGGATCAAATAAAGAAAAGGAGAAGGAAGGCAGGTGCATATTACTGCAGAGAACTCCCAACATCACATGGATATAATGTGAGCTAACCAAATGTCAGAAAAACATACCCTTACTGATTGCTTTTAAGAAATGCCTGTGATCTTTTAGAACTAGTGCCATATACACCACCTATGATAGCAGTGCCACCATGGCTTGCTTTATTGCTGTCACTGAAAACTTTCTATAAACCAGTGACTTGCCATCTTTGCAGACAGCTTTAGATGATTCTTCCCAACTACTGTATTTGTTTTTACTCACATGCAAGAGGATCAAGGCCACAACTAAAAATAACTGCCTTGCTTTCAAAAGTGAGAAAGAAACAGGCCATTTTCCTTGTAACATCAGGAAAACAGGTATGAGCAAGCAACTAAGAGTAGGCACTTAAATACATTTCACATGAAACTAATCCCATACTGCAACATTTCAGAAGGTTATCCTGGAGATTTTGCTCTATGTGAGGAAAGAAACTAACTTGTCAAGGATTTTAATTCTTTGTTGCAGAAAAAGGAGATCTATAAAATCCCACCGGGGAAGAAATCTTAGCTTTTGCTCCATAATCATTACCCTTATTCCCCAAAAGTCCACCTTGCAAAGCAGCTGCCACAAGGAACCTAAAGGTTGTTTTTCAACCTCATCACCAGCAACAGCCTATTACACCACCTGCAATGATGATAATGAAAATGGTTTCATAAAACCCAGTGGCAATTACAGCTGTGTACACTCTGCTCATAATAGAGGTTTTAAAAGGACATTAATTGTGCTGTGATCCTGAAACTAGACTGATTAGTCATGATGACGTTACACCATGATTCACACTTAGATGACTCATGCAGACAGAATAATTATCTAGCAGGACTTCCATAAGTCTCCTGCTCAATGAGACCTCATTACAGGACTGAGGGTTCCTGTTATATGAATAAAAAAGGAAGGGTGAGGAAAAAATCAGCACTTCCCATCAGGTAGTATAAGATGCCTACCCTGACTAATTTGCATATTTAATTTGAGACACAGGTTTCCTCTTAGCTGTGACCATATTTATTTAAGTAAAACCCCTGCAACTTTATCATACAAGTAGAATTCCTCTTTAAATGTTTAAGCTTGACTTTGTACATGTATGTAGATTATTAGTCATTTAAAAAAAAATCCTTGTGACATAGCAAAATATTTCTCCAGCTTCCATACAAAATAGCATTTTTTTTCTCTGCTGGTAGAACACATTAAAATTTTTACTGTATTAAGTGGCCTGTGTAACTTTTACAAAAATTGTATACAAGAGCAAGTGAGCAAAAATTCCAAAGTACACTCCAACAGCTAATGCTCTGCGAATACTTTATTACACAAATTACATTCAGCTTCTGAAAATAGTGTTCTAACAGTGATACCATCTAAAAATAAGACATTCCAGAAACACACCAAGTTAGGAAGAAGAAAAAATTAAATAGAGACCTTTTTTCTTTCCTTCAATGCAATATAATGTTAGTGATTTTAAAAAAATAGAAGAAGACTTAGCAGCTTCATTTTCTTGTGGCACTGTATTTTCTCTGTACTGCAACAGGTTAAGGACATTGAAGAGGAAAGGCACAAAACAGAAATTGGCAACTGAATAATGATGGGAAAAATATTTTGATGAAGCAGATAGTAAGACTTATTTACAAGATCCCCATATTCGATGATGAAATACTACTGCTTTAAATCAGTCCTGCAATTAGCAGACTTTGCTTTATTAGGATGTTTGCATTAAAAACAACGGCACTGATATGGAACTTCCACACACTCCTCCACCTGAAAAACATAACTAAAGCCAAACAAAAATTAAAGGAACCAGTGTAGAGCCCCACACAGACTAGGACAGTTTACAATTAAATACACGAAATCTTAAACGTGCTTAAGGGAAAAGGAATCTGACATTCTGGGTTGAATCGTATAATGGAGAACTCAAAGGCTGATTTCAGGATGATGAAGGTGCTGGTGGGGGTGGAGATGCTGAACACTCTTCCTCAGAATCTGTACCATCATCTTCATCTTTTTCTTGATCACTTCCTTCAGTGCTCAGTCGGTCAAACCCTTTTCGGCTGTAGCCTTTGTGACTTGCAAAGAAGTTCCCAAGGTTAATGCCACCACCACCTTTCCCTGTGGAAAGGAAAGGCTTTTCATAAGGTGTGCTTTACTGAGTGTGGGAAATAAAAGTACATCTACTAATTTAACAGTATAGTGGTGATTATTTTAAGTGTCCTTCCAGAAACTGTTTTTAAAGATCAGCACCTGAGCCACAAAAGCTAAGTACAGACATTATGGAAGAAGAAGGAAATTAACCTTTGAAGTAGAAGTTTCAAACAGCCTCCATGTTTCATTACATCTTTACACAGGCTATTGGTGTTTCCACTCATCTGCCCTTAGTCTCAAGTGCTTCATTTCATTCACCAGATCCATGATAACTCATTATTATAGCTACTGCTCTCCCACTGGTAGTGACACATCCTCTTTAGTGGGCAGATAATGACAGATGAAAGGTGTCAGAAAAGACATTTCCAAAAAACACCTGATCTTTGCCCCCAATCCTTCCTCTGAGAAAGTTCCATCAAATCTGTTATTCAACATGAATAGAAAAAAGTCTCCAGTTACTGCATTCTTAAAAGATCTTCAATGACTAGACTTACCTCTAAGTCTGCCTAGAATTCTGCCTGAACTTGAATCAAGCTTGTGCTCCCCATCAGCTGAAAAATAAGACAAATTTCAGAAATAAGCTGTAAACCCCAACATTCTATGATTAAATAATTGTCTGTACTTTCTGACATAAAGCACAGACATTCACCAAATCAATCAGCTGCTCTAAGAAGCCATTGATGGCAGTACTGCAGTAGTCTAGAGGGTTAGCATATTTAATATGCTAAACATGTATGATCACAGCCAGGAAGCTGCACATGGAAATCTTAAAATAAAATACATCAAATTCAGTTGCACAGCCATATGAGATTGCTGAATTGCCTACTCTGTCATAGTAGGTCCTGACCAGCAGCAGAGCTGTGGTTTTTGACTACTGCATGTGTATTTTCTTCTCCTGATGAGAGTATCTTGATAAAACTATTTATGTGATACAAAATAACAAGTGTAGTGATCAGACTTCTACTGCAGTCTACCAGTTTCTGAAAAATAGTATTATACAGTACAAATTATGAGCAAATTTACATAGCATTGTAAGTACCAATTAAAGCTCTTGGAGCAATGGATGAAGGTGCATTACAGAAACATGTCTGACTCACAAAATGCACTAGGTGGTAGTGAACAACAATGTATAATAATATACTCTCTTGTAAATGTTATCTGTTTGCATTTTGCTTATCTCTCTATAATACCTATGGGATCTTTTTTTCTTAGCAATTTAAAGATCCCAAACAAGAAAATCAAACTATGCTCAGAGTATTAAAATTTATGAATTCTAGACAATAACACAAATATATTGTAGTAATTTCTGAGATACCAATTTTTGGCTTGACACCAATTAAAGTTTTCGATACATGTTCTGAAAAGGTGGTGGCCTGAGATGGAACAGGGGGATGCAGGTGTTGTGTACCTGCTGATTCTTAGTTTACATGCAGTGCCACTACAACTGTTCAGGAGGACAAAGGGACAGTAAGTCTCTCCCTTAATGCCCTTCTACCACAGTGTTCAGTAAAGTTTCGAACTGCAGTAATAAAAGTCTGTTCTCTAGAAGAGTTTTTCACAGTTACCTCCATAGACAGTTGTCTTCCTCCACCGAATAAATACTAAAATTGCCATGAGGACAACAATAGGGATAATTAGGAGAGTTGTAATTAGAACAAAGGAAACTCCAGTGTTGCTGGCCTGTTGGACCAAGTGCTGTTTATCCGTATTCTTTAGAGGGTCTGTTGATTCTGGCTTGTTTTTCAATCTGGCTTCTACAATTGTTTCTGATTCTTTAAAAAGAAAACAATTTCCATATGTAATCCATATGCATCAAGCAACACAGAACAAGGTGTTATGGAAAAGAACAATCTAGAATACCTGGTCTCAAGTAACAAGTTAGTAAAAGACAAATCCTTATGGAGACATTTTTAGCTCTTGCTGATGTTATCCCAAATGTAAGACAGAGTCTGAATGACACCACTCACTAACAAAGATTCCCTTCTCTTTTTTCAAATGGGGCAATTACAGGTGTCAGAGAGATTTTGTCCTAAAAAGTATCTCATTCATAATATAGGAAATTCTCCCTAAGATCTATTTTTGCAAATAGGTGTGTGGTCTAATATTGATTAAAATATGTCCTTTTGATAATAACACTTTCACAAGAAATAAAGAAGGCAAGTATACACTGTATTATCATAAACAAAAAGGAAATGTTTAAAGTTCTTTTTAATAAAACTGTGACAAAGGGTTAAATTTTCAGAACTGTTACATCCCATGAATGAACTTTGGTTCTATAAATCTGAAGAGCTTTTGAAAACTGCATCCAGTCATTCCTGACTAGCTTGTTAAATCTCCACCTTCAAAGAGAAAAACTATTTCAGGAAAAAGCTTTATGCTGTTTTGTGCCTGTATCGCATGCTTCATGGTAACTTTTACTGAATAAAACTGTCTAGCTATATATTTTAAAGTTGGACCGAATAACATGTCCTATGAAGCAGCTTAATCACAACCACACTCTGAATCAAATCTGTTTTGATTCTGTATCAAAATTTAAATCATGTTCTATTCTGAAAGAAGAGCAAATGCTTCAGTTTACACTTAACACTAATACAGTGATATTGCTATCATTGTTATCACGAGCATAAGGGTAACAATGAAAGCACAAGGATACAATGAAAACCTGCTGTTTGTTCAAGTAGTAGTTATAGCTACCATCTTGCCCTGCTCTGTGAAAACTTACAGTTCTCCATATATTTCCCCCTGTATCACAGCAGTACAAGCACTATTAACAGTGTGTCACCGGGAGGCTGTGAGAGTGCAGGCCACTCCTGCCCATTTACTGAGCACAGGATGACAAAGTCTATTGGCTGTTTTCTTCCAGTGGAGTCGAAAGGCGTTTATTTCAGACTGCCTACCCTAGTCAGTTTTAAAGATTGCTACTGAAAAAATGATTCTCAGCCTGTTGATATCCCTGCATTTTTGTCTGTGATACTAGAAGCGTCATCTATAGAAAGCCAAAATGCCAAATATACCCCAAGACAGACAGTATGCTGTAGTGTCAACACTTCCCTTTTGTGTGTTTCAGGCAGGCTGATATACCAACAGAGATAAAACAAAGGATAACAGTTTTGGCAGTACGTATTTAATTATTTCATGTCAGCCTTCCTTACACTACTTTGTTCTATATGCTTTCAATTAGAAGTTGGGAGCTTTTGGTACTTTTTTCGGTCTGCATATACATGGCTGAAGCAAACTACACAAGCTCTAAATTTAACCAAAGAAATCCAGTTAAGAATATCCTAACATTTTATAAAGGCCTCTCCACAGCCTGGTACTGTTTTTCTGAAAGGGAAATTAACCTTTTATTTTCAACATAAAAGACATACATAACAGAATACAAATTATTACAATTATTTTTCATCTACCTGAATTGCTATTTTACCCTTTCAGTCTTCTCTATATGTATTTTTCTCCATATAGATATTGTTTCTACATGTTTTTCTTTTCTTTTTTTTTGCCTAGTTTTTTTTCCATGCAGGTAATTTTTTTTAAAAAACACAGTAAAGCTATGATAAAAAATCTAAATAGAAAAAAGGGTATTTTTGCCATACAGTGTGACTGGCAAGGCTGTGTACTGAAAGACTATGCAGAAAGATAAGCCAATTGCCATTTCAAATAACCCTTTTTTTAGGTGTTGAGGACTGTGGGGGAAGGCTGCTGGGGAGTAATATATCACAGTTATATTTCAGAGCTATTTTTGCATATAAGGGAGTTGCCACAGATGCCAATTGGGACCACACCAGATGGTGGTATGGAATTAATCCACTAGCTAAATTTTTATCTTAATGTCTGTGAAGCACTTGTCATCACTGAAAATGAAATGTTTAGATTGGCTGTAAAATAGTATATACCAGGTAACGCTGTTTCAAGCTCCTTTCTAGTGCTTCCTATGCCAACTGATGAAAAACAAAAGTCAAACTAGTTAACACTTTTTCCCTCCAACTTGGCATAATCAGCCCTAGCCTATGTGAGCATACTGGTTCCTTCGTTTCCATTATGAATCAGACTAACCTTTTATTTCCTGTACCTCAATACCAGCCTTTTTAACTGACCGATGTTCCATTTCTGTAAAACAAAATCATTCTTCAGGACAACTGACATTTCAGAAAGACACTCAGTGACATTTTCCTACTAGCTTTCTCAAGCGTACAGTACAATCCTACAGTAAACAATCCCATCAGCACCTGAACTTCACCAAGGAGAGTCAATATAAACCATTCAATAGCTCACAAGGCCATGGAAAAATGAAGGAGCTTGATTCATTAAAGATGCTTGCAATGATCAGGTCTTATGCCACAGAGATTTTATGGGTATGTCTAAAGGTCCACAGACTCCCACAAAAATAAAATTGTTCATTATAGTCAGAATCACAATAGATCAAAGGCTGGTTGAATCAGGGCTTCTTAGCTACTGCAGTTTTATACTGCAGCAAAACCTAAAAAGAAAATTACATACAAATGACTTCCCTCATCTAACCTATAATGATTCCATTTTTTCCTCATGTTTCTTTCAATAAAAGCCTAGAACTGTTCTTGTTCAGTTACTAGATACAGGAAAACCCAAACACATCCATCCAGAATTAAAATTTATCTGAGTTTCCTGTTATTAAGAGAAGCTGATACCAGATGCCCCAAAGGAAAATCCATGAATCATAAACAAATATGGAATAACTAGCTTAGTCAGAAGTTCATTTATAGCAGCAGACTCTTACTGGATGACTAAGGCTATATCCCTCTCATACATTTTTATCCAATATAATGTAGCAGTGGATTATATTTTTATTCTGGCAAAACATATAACCTCTCTCTGAATCCTACTAAATTGATGTCTGACTAATGAGGTCCCTCTCCCTGCTGTTTGCCTCAGGGTTTACTAGACTAAAACTGGCAAGTGTTCCCTCTTCATGGAAATAAGACTTCAAATTATACTAGATAACTTTTCTTACAATAAGTACTCTTAGTGAAATGAATATAAATTTCAAGTTGACTAGTGTTTTTACTTCATCCCCTGGGAGTGTCCTGTATGATAATCTCAAAGAAAGCAGTTGAATTCTCAGTAAATGGTACACTGACATTGTTTAAGCAGGTACTGACGTGACAAGGGATAGATCTACCATGAGGCAAATGCATTTTGATTCCTTCTGTGACAAACTCATACGCTCAGGACTCTACTTTGACAGAGCATAGAGAAATGCTGAAGAATGGTCTCAGTGAAAACTGAACACTAGCACACAACTTCTGCAGGTAGAGCTCGTAGAGTACTTAAATCACTATCATTAAGCCACCAGATTCTTGGCCAGGTAAGTGGTACTGACGTGAAGATACAAAATACGAAGCTGTGACATTAAAACCAAAAGAACATACTTTCTGTGGGTGCAAATTTCCACACTGCTCTGGCATGAACGTCTCCAACAAATACCGTTCTATCTTCTGAAGCAACAACATCATGTGGCATCTCAAAACTCTGTGAAGATAAGCGGTCACAGATTACTCTTTAAGTGTCTACATGTTCATGAGGCCTCCTTAGACTTGAAAATGCAGCAGGTGCTGGTGTGAAGGCCTAACATGTATGAAAACTATTGTATGTTTGCTTTCTCCAGGGACAACAACACGGAGATTATTTGATGCCTTAATGCTCAAAATTTTTTTATAAGTAATATTTATATTCATATTATTGCATTCAATTTTATTGTGAAATGCATATTTTCAAAAATAAAGAATCTTGGTTTGAAGCCCACATATTTAGTTTTTGTTAAGAGTTTGCATGCGACACAGCTATTCACCATTCTCAGAAAAAATAACTCTCACCAAAAGGATCTAAAAGTGGACCACAAATAAAGAGTGTATGTGTTACCAAAAAGTGGGAATATTAACATTTATTGTTTACCCTAAGACTATATATGGAAACTGTTAAAATAATAAACATAATTTTTGTGTGCAATACTTTATGAAGAATATTTAACCTTTATTTCCACACCAGTATTATGTAAAGAAGGCATGTAACCACACAGTTGAATATTATTTCTGCTTAGGAATAGGTTCTATTTATGACAAATTACTAGCATATGAATATATGAATATTTCAATTCCTTCATTATTCTCTTAAATTTGCTTTTAAGAGCTGTCTAACAGCAATAGAGTAGCCTTATCTTGACTGAAGGTATTACCTGTAGGAATCTTCTTGAGAGTAGGTAACTTTCTCAAGTGTGTACCACATGTAGAAACTAAGACCCAAAATTCTAGTGTCTTTATTAGGTTAATATTATAAAGCATTCCTTTTTAATACTTTACATTATAAAACATCTTATTTCCTGCAATAGTCTTATGAAAGCTGGAGAAGTAGAATGGTACCAACATTCTCATAAATGTAATTATATGGATCAGGCACTCTGCAATACTCTACCTTTCTAAGTGGAATGAAAGTATCAATTATTTCTCCAGTTGTGAAGTTCATCACAAATCCTTGCACTGGTTCTGCCTCTCCAGGATATGGCATCCCATTAACTGCGACGAGGAGACCACCTGCAACAACATTAGACTTGCCTTAACAACCCACACATAGCAAACTGAAGATGAACTCTGATAGTTTAGAATCAAAAAAGCTGTCTAAGAGACAAAGTGACAGACACAGAAAGATAACTCAACAGGAAACTAAACTATAAGAGGAAAATTAAGTGAGGTATGCCAGTTGAAAGTTTGGCATTTAAGAGACAGAGACTTTGTCCAAATTAGAAGAACAAGCAAGGCAGTATTTAACAGGTTCTTTAAACGTAAAGTAAATGTGGAAGTGTTAAAAAAAAAACAATCTGAAGAGGCTCTGCTAAAGATGCTTGATCTGATAGCAGAAAGTTCTTCCAATGCATCAAAAGGAGAAAGTCAGCTATGGAATCAGCGGGACTGCAAGAGGAAAAGGTGTGAAAGCGGTTCTCAGGGATGAAGGGCCTGTGGCAGAGAAACTCAGTTTTTGTCGTTTTTTTCTGTTGAATATGTTGGGAAGATTCTGACACAAGTTTTTTCATAGCAGAGATCTGAGGAGCCAGCTCAATTGGAAGGAGAGATACAAAAGGTGTTAGACAAGTTGGAGGTTAATAATTCACTAGGTTTGGATGCTGTTCACTCAAATTCAGAGGGATGTGAAATCACAGACCTCAGTCCCAGCTAAGTAACCTAGCACTGCAAACAGCCACTCCTCTGCAGGACTAGTAGAATGCCTAAGTAATGCCCACCTACAAGTAGGACTCAAAAGGGTGCCTGGGAACACATGCTAACAATTCTGGCTTTCATCCCCAGTAAGATGGTAGAATCCATAATGAAGAGTGAGACACGGATAAGCATGGCCTGTCAGAAAAAAGTTGGTATGGCTTCTTTAAGGGTTGTGCCTCACCCCGATCAAGCTAAAAAGACACACAAATAAAGGAGATTCTGTAGACATACTTGGATTTTCAGGGCTGAATGAAAGATCCACTTAATGAACAGGACGCAAAGAGCAGAGCTTACAGACAGAACTCATAATTTTTCAGAACAGAGAAGCCTGAATATTCTGATCTTGCAGGATCAGAGTCAGAAACAATTTTATTCAACAGTCTTCATCCATGACCTGAAAAATGGGGTGAACAGTGACATCTACCAGTCTGAGGAGTATACTGAGTTCTACAGAGTAGTCAAAAAACTTGATGATACTGAGAAAGTTCAGAAAGAGTTTTTATAAGAATAAGTGAGTTGTCAAATATCAGAAGAGCTTCAGCAAAGGCAAATGTGAAGTGATGCTTCTGAAAAAAAATAATAACCTAGATCATGCCTACATGATGTTTAAACTTAGAACTTGAAGCTCAGGAGAGACATCTCCGAGCCATCACTGAAAGGTTTCTGAAATCTCTGGCTCCATGTACAGTGTCAGTCAAAATTTCAACAGAATGTTAGGCATTGTGAGGAAGAGGATTAGGAATGGAGTGGACAGTTCTGCTACTATGCAAAAACTTAGCATGCCCACATCTTCAGTACTGAGTGCTGTTTTAATCTCTCCATCTCAAGAAGGTCCCAATGAAACTAAAGATGCTAGAAGAGAAAGGCAACCTCAATACTCAAGGGGCTCAATTAAATGGCTTATGGGGAGACACAAAGGTGGCTGGGGTTCTGTGATTTGAAGAGGGTAAGTAAGAGGGACCACATCTGGGGAGCGCAGAACTATTACTCAATTCCCAAAATACTGTGATTGAGAAGCACTCAATGTAACTACGTCACGTTTTTATATTAAAAAAAATAAAATGGGTAAAGAACTTCTGAAGTGTCTAAGAGCAGGATGCCAATGAGCCAGACAGTACAGTCAGTTCAAAATGGGATTAGGAAAAATCATGGGCAATAGGTCTCTAGAAAGACACTACGAAGTAGAGGTCAGAGGCTACCTCCTAACTTCATTAAATAAAGGGCTAGTGGATGCACGGTGAGTAGGAGAGGAATGAACCACAAAATGCAGCCAGACTTACACATCTTCCTTAGAATGCCTCTCATGCTGCCACTGTCAGAGACAGAGCTGTAGGTATCAAGTATCTCATTCAGCACAGCAATTTTTATAGTCTTGGCAGATGCAAAAGAGGCAACTCTGATATTAAATTTGGTATCAAGGAGTCAGAAGGCTGACATGCCAAAACTCCTTGTCCAGTTTTTAACATTTACATTACCTGGAGTATCAGTATTAAAAATCTAATCCCAAAACTTAATACAGTAATTGATAATCTGATTGTGATATTAAAACCCACAACTTTTTCACACAATTTGCTTTGGTTTTTTTATTTTATGAAACCTACAACTTTGATAGTTTGAAACCCTGATTTCTTCAATGGAGTTTAAAATATACATTTTAAAATGTTATTATTACTAATAATGTTATTATTACTGATTTAAATGTGCAGTAAGCAAACAAGATTATCTACTTGTTGACATCAGATTTAGGGAGTCTGATCAGTCATTTCTCAGAAGCAGACATGATATGCAAGCTTCCCTTGTCCTCAAGTAGGAAGATGGACTTGTAAAATTTTCCATTGCATCAGGGCTACTTTGAAAGAAGATAAATATCTGTCCTAAGCAACATGGTAGCACTCATCATTAAATAACACTGTGTACTGTGACATACTGGCACAAAGCAACCACTTAAAATCTGAAGAACAGGAAAAAGGATTACCTGGAACATATGAAACTGCAAACAACTCTCTCCCAAACGATTTGTGTTTGATCTCTCTGGTGAACTCCCCAGTCTCTAATTTGAAGCACTGAATTCGACCATTTTCCCTGTCTGCAACACAGAGCTGATTGAAGTCAGGGATCAGAGCTAAGCTGTGAGGGATATGAAATTGTCCAGGTCTGGCTCTGCCTAGAGAAGTCTCTGCAATACAAAATATCCAGGTTTGTGTTACAGTACACACTGAAACTGACAGTTTTCCTTGGAAATAGCAGTATGTCACATAATGCAATATAACACTGGGAAAAGACTAAAGTCAGCTCGCTTTCTTCATAAACCATGGCAGCCTATTGTATTTTCTTTGTACATCCTGAATTTATGATTTTGCTATTTCCCTATAATATTCAGCATAACTTAATGCCTGATACATAAATCTAAGTCAGAAACATAATTATTCATAAATTATTAATAAAACATATAATAGATGGAATCACAGCATAAATATTGCAAAAACAGCAGTATGAGCAAAGTACCAAGAGCTCTGACTGTACCTTCTCCCCACTGCATCACATACAGTCCATTTGGAGAGAACTGAATAATCCGACTGTTACAGTAGCCATCAGAGACATAAATGTTGCCAGTGATTGGATCCACGGCCACATCAGTTGGTTGACAGAAATGATTTTTGTCACTGCCTGGTTGCAAAGCCACTCCTAAGATTAGTAATGGTGTTTTGTCATCCGCTCCCAGTTTGAAAACCTTTTTATCAGTCAACAGGAAAAGAGAAGAGGTTTCAGTTATGGAAGGTGAAATCTAAGAGGGATGACTCCCTAGGGAAAAATACCTATCACTGTGTATAAAATAAATTTACATACCAAACATAATAATAATATATTGACTGTAATATCTATTACCAGTTTTTAAATAGTGTTGCTTCTAGGAAATTTCTGCCTAAAATACAGATTTTCTGTCATTACAAAGCAAACAAATTAGCTTTGCATTCAAGATTTAAACACATCAATAAGCAAAGATGCAGCAGAAAAATCCAGAGGGACCTTGACAGGCTTGAGAGGGAGACCCACGCTAACCTTGTGAAGTTCAATGCGGCCAAGTGCAAGGCCCTGCACCTGAGTTGGGGTAAATTCCAAGCACTACTATCAACTACAGGCTGGGCAGAAAAGGCATTGAGAGCAGTCCTCAGGAAAAGGTGTTGGTTGAAAGCCAACTGTGTCCTGGGCCATATCAAAAGTAGTGTGAGCAGCAGGTTGAGGGAGGAGAGCCTGACCTCAGTGTCTGGCAAAGT